TGCATGATATAATTTTTACGAAAAGTAAATTTAGACATCCGAGGATAAGATTCTTAGGTATTTCGAAAAGCAATACCTAAGAAATCTCTAGGTGAGAAAGAGTTATTCTAATATTACCAACGTACTGGAGTATTTTAAGAATTATTTTAATAAAAAAAATTTTAATTTATTTTTTTCGAATAAAATTTGAATAATAAATTTTTTAAAATAAAACTAAACAAACCAATTTCCACAAAAAATTAAGAAAATTATTTTTTCAAACACCGAGAATGAGACTATTTTTAATCAAAATCAAAGGATAACACATAGTTAAGTGATACTATTTTTAAACGAATATTGTGGGGGTGCTAATTCTTTCCCGCGCATAATCGACTCCCGAACCCAGACTGTTTTGCAGACCGTAAAATTATCTTTTTAATAAATTTTAATTAATTTTAAAATCTTATTAGAAGGATAAATTTTAATAGGTGATCAATTGCACATAGCCAAAAAAGATCGGTGGAGACTCCATTTTTTGTTCTTTTATTTTCGTTTTCAAATTCGTCGAGCGGCTCCAAAATCGTTACGACAGCTTGGCGACTTCATTGGGGATTACCTTTTATTTTCGAGAGTCAGGCCAAAATTAACTACTTATTATCATTAAATTTTGATTTAAACAATCTTAATCAATTTCTTAGATTTTTATTTTTCATTTTCAATAAAAAAGGTAAAAAAAAAAATCAAAAATAAAAGGCAAAAAATTCACACACATTTCTTTTACTATGCTTTTTATGTTTTATTTTTTTTGTATATATTACTTTCAATAAATTAGGATATATTTGCACACAATGACACGATGCATCTCATGCATGAGCTCTATACCCGGGCTCTGTCCTTTATAAGAAGAAGTAAAGTACGTATGCCCTCGTGAGGTGATAATCTCTGCAATGACAAGTGAAATATTTTCACTCAAATTGAACATTTTTCGTTCGTAGCCTGTAATGGTGAGGATGGGGGTGCCTTACTAGTGCAACATGGACGACAGTGAGGAATAATTTGAGAACCTTTAGACACTGTCAATCAAAACTCAGCATATAATAAACCTTGGAAACCAACCTTATGTAGAGTCTCATTCACCTTCTTGTAAGAAATACCTAAGAATAAAAGTTGTGTATAATACAAAACAAAACAAAACAAAACAAAAAATCTCAAAACACAAAAAAAAACACTTAAAAACAAAAAATATTTTTTTCTTAAATCACATCCTCACACTAACTCAATTTTGTTTCATTTTCTTTTTCTTTGCATTAATCATATCATACAGTTTTGCATCGAGATATTTACTCTATGACATATTTCTCCCAATAAGTTTTTCATGGATCCCATAAAACTACAGATTTGCTCATCCTCAGTCAGTATGCCATGTGAGCTGTATAATGAAGTATGTGTTTGTCAAAAGAAGCTCAACAAAAGAATAAAAATTGTTTGACTACCAGTTATATGTTTGAATTACCCAAAAAAATACATTTAGATCTCACACAGAATGATTTAGAAGACTTAGCCACCATCTGGGATCAGTTAAATGAAGAAAGAAAAGAAAGCTTTTGCAAGAAGTACGGGCAGATTGCATCCCTCATTTCGGTAGTGATTGATGAACAGTTGATCAGAGCATTTATACAGTTTTGAGATCCATCCTATAGATACTTCACTTTTAATCAAGAAGATTTGGTTTTAATTTTAAATTTTATAAATTATTCTTTATTTTGAAATAATTTAGAAATAATCTCTTTTAGAAAATTACATATTTGTAATTTGTCTAGACTTTATCATTGATTTTATCCTTAAAAAAGATCTTAAAATTGTTAGAGATTAAATTATTTGATTATCTAATTTTTATTATTTCATTTTAATTTAAAATAAATATTATTAAATTTTTTTTCTAAATTTATCGTAATTTTGATATAATTTAAAAAATTTATTTATCAATCATACATTTGCAATTGTTTGAAATTTTATTATTGAAATATTTGTATCATATTATTTTATTTATTATTTTCATTAATCTTGCTTTTTCTTAAAATTTGTTCAATTTTATAATAAAATAATTATTATGCAAAAATTTTAGTTTAACATTTTATTTAATAATTCTATTATTATTTTTTTCATTATCATCATTTAAATAAATGTCCCATACTCAAATTACTCTAACTTTTAATATGCATATATTAAATATTAAACATAAATATAAATAAAATAATACACAAAATATTAATAAATAAATAAATAATTATCGAAAAATATTATAATTGTATTTGTATGTTTTATGTATTAATCTTATCATTTTTCAATATCTTTTTGTAGTTTGACCGTTGAAATTTATGTAATAAGGATAATCAGATTCAAGAGAAGGACTAAAATGAAAGTATACAGCAAAAAAAGAGTGCGGTCGAGCTGCTGGCATTGTGCTGAGATAATAAAAGGCAATGGCCACAGCTACACCATCAAAACATGAATGCTATTCCAGTGCCACTGACAAGACGATTGTGGTCCAGTCGTTGGTCAAACCCCTTTTTTTTTCCACCGTTTCTTTTAATCTGCGTCGTTATCTGTACACATCGTTACGACGTGTCCTTTTGCAGTGTCCCATTGTTAGCATCACCTCCCATGGAGACAGCGCCCTTTCATTGACTTTAATCTATACCCATTTTTAAATCCATCCACCCTTTAAAGAAAATCCCAAAAAATTAAAAATTATGATTATACAAATTTATTCAATAAATTAATTTTTAATTTATATACTCAACAAATTTATTTAAACAAAAAATATTATTATTTAAATAATTATATGATAAATAATCATAATTATTTAACATAAAATTATAATTATTCATATAATCTTTTAACTGTTTTAACAAAAATTATAAAGTCCTGACCTGTCATTGTCATTTGGCTTTTCTCATATGGATGAAAATTTGAGGAGGGGCTGCTCAAGAAGGAAATGTTGATCTATTATACGCATCAATCCAAAGAAATTCTAATGTTTTGAGGCGTATTGATGGGAGAGAGTACTTGGTTTTGAGAACATATAATATGTATTTAGATCTATATAATTAAATCTGTATTTAGATAATTATGTTTATATAAATAGATATCTATTTGTGCAGTTATTTTAGGTATATTTAGATTATATTTGACATATAATAATTAAAAATAAGATATTAATCATCTTATTATATATTTATTATTCAATTAAATAAAATGATTGAATTATTAAAAAAATTAAATATCTTATATCAATAAAATAATTCTATTATTTTAAAAAATAAAAAACAATTTTCAAACGATAAGATTAAATCATTTATTAGAAACTTTAAATAATTAATTTTTTATTTTTTTATTTTTTTATCACACCATCTCATAACCCAAGCCTTAAGAAAAGAATTCAATAATTTATTAATTAATTTTTAAAATTTTATTTATATATTGAATAAATTTATTTAAACAAAATTATTATTATTTAAATTATTATATGATAAATTATAGCAATTGTTTAATATAAAATTATAATCATTCATACAATTTTTAATAACTTTAATAAAAATATAATTATATTTATATAATATAAAATTATATACGACCACCTCACTCCCCACTAGGCTCTTGGACATTTGTTATGAAAAGATCAGCTTTGGCAGGCAGCGGGACCAAGCATTTGATTTAATTTGATTTGATTGATGTAATCAGCAAAATAATGCAGCTAGTTAAGGTGAGGAGTGACCAGTAGTTCGGAACATGCATCTTACTATGATCAATGCCTGTCTTTTATGCATCTTGCACCTTTGAAAATCGGATACAAAAGTCGTTGTACGTTGTTTTTTATATTCAAAAGCAAAAAACAGTAAATGAAGTTTTGAAAAGTCTTATAAAACAATTTTGTATTAATTAATTTTAAAAATTTTTATTTATATATTAATAAATTTATTTTTAAAAATTATTATTATTTAAATAATTATATGATAAATTATTATAATTATTTAATATAAAATTATAATTACTTTTATAATTTTTAACGGTTTTAATAAAAATTATAATTATAGTTATATAAGATAAAATTATATAACTATTTCGGTGTCCGCACTAGGCTCTTGGACATTTGTTGTGAAAAGATAGAAGACGAGAGGCCAGCTTTGGCAGACAGCAGGCCCCAGGCATTTAATTTGATTTGATTGCTGGAGTCAGAAAAATAATGCAGAAAGTTACGTGAAAAGTGACAAACAGTTCGGAACGTCCATCTTGCTCTGACCAATACCAAATTTTTTTTTTTTTATTGCTGCAATATGCACCATACCTTTTTCTCTTCGCATTTTAATTTTTTTAAAGTTTTTTAAAGTAAAATTACTTAATTTTTTAAAAATAAATTTTTAAAAAATTTTAATGATTTTCGAAAATGGACCGTACGGATGAACAATACCTTTGTCTGAATAGCAGCAACTTAATGCCTAAAAGAATTGAAGATATGGATCAAAACTATGTTTTCAAGAATCTGCTTTTTATTTATTTTTTAATGTTTCTGGTTGACTGTAACATACCAACTAAACAGCACCTACGTTTGGAAGGTACTATGTAACTGAACTAAAATGGATAAAGTAAATACATAGGGGTATGAGTTGGAATTTTTAAATTTTGTTTGGTTTTGAACCAATTAATAATTATATATTAAATATATGTTTCGAAGGATCCGTGTTAAAATTTTGTTAATCACTTATTCAAAAATTTACAAGGTAAATGATTATGTTTTTGTACATTTGATTCATTTGAGTTTTTTAGTAAATAGATTTATTTTTAATTTTTTATTAACTAATTTTCAAATTTGTATTTTGAATAAATTTATTAGAATAAAAATTATTATTATTTAAATAATTATATAATAAATTATTATAATTATTTAACATAAAATTGTAATATAAGTGTGCTAATTTAATATTTGAAATGACCAATAAAAATATTGAGTTCACAAAAAATTAGAGTAAATTGAGTATGGGAATAGCTTTTATATGTAAGTAGAGTTATCATATAGCAATTGGTGCTATACAGCCTCAAATGATTTCGTGTTTGTGTTTACCGTGAGGAGGGGAGCTGCTCAACTTTAAGTGAAACCAGGCTACTGATTTCCTCCGTCTTCTCTTTCACCCTTTTAATTTGGCTCTATAAAGCAGTCTAACCCCCTTTTCCTCTTCTGTCGATCATTTTCATTGTCGTTTGGCTTTTCTGATATGGATGAAAATTTGAGGAGGGCCGCTCAAGAAGGAAATGTTGATGAACTATATGCATCAATCGAAAGAGATTCTAATGTTTTAAGGCGTATTGATGAGATGGAGTTTGTTGACACTCCATTACACATAGCTGCAGTTGAAGGATGCATTGATTTTGCAATGGAGATAATGACCTTAAAACCCACATTTGCTAGGAAGCTAAACCAGCAAGGCTTTAGTCCCATTCATCTTGCAGTGGAAAACGGACATAAAGAGCTCGTTCTTCTTCTCTTGGAAAATAATAAAGATCTTGTACGTGTCAAAGGGAAGAAGGGTGAGACTCCATTGCACTATGCAATAACCAGAGAACACAACCATGATCTCATAGCTAGATTTTTGGAGGTTTGCCCCGAATGCATCCAAGATGTGACAACTACAAATGAAACTGCTTTGCATATTGCGACGAGAAACAATGAGTTACAAGCTCTCAAACTCCTATGCGGGATGCTTTGGAGGACTGACAATCGTGAGGAAGTGGTGAATCAAAAAGACAGGAATGGGGACACTGCCTTGCACATGGCTGCCGGTGATAATCGACATGAGGTTCTACCCATATGCTCTAATTAATTTTACTTCTGGCAAAAGAAATAGATTCCTTTCAGATTGTATAATTTCATCAAACTCTTGATTAAACAGATGCTCAAACTGCTATTGCAATGCAAGGCTGACAAACATGCTACCAATAAGGCTCGCAAAACGGCACTGGATGTTGCACAACAACGTGATGACAAAAAAAGCATTGGAATTCTGCGTGGTTGCTTTATTCCAATAGTTTCAACTTTTAATTATAAATTGCAGAAACAAATTTTCAAGTATGTGACGAAGGCATCAGCTATAATTTTTCAAGATATGAATAATATATCAATTGAGGACCGCAATGCCTTACTAGTAATTCTAGGATTGCTTTTAACAACAACCTACCCAGCCAGTCTTAGCCCACCCGGTAGTGTTTGGCAGGGAGACAGTTCCTCAAACTCCACTGCCAATCTAGGAGATGAAGAAAAAGCACCAGGGAAATCGGTAATGAATGAAATTACTTCTCTTTATTTCTACATTCCAACCTCTGCGGTGTTCATAGTAACGTTTTTCCTAACATTGGGTCTCCTTAAACCTTTTCCTCGTGGTTTCAGGACTGCTCTTCAGATACTCCTCGCATTTCTTGCTATATGCTTTTATCAATCAATCTTTTTCCTAGCGCCAACAGATTTAGCAACTATAGTTATTAATATATTTTCAGTTATGGTTTTCGTTTTGATGATGTTCATGTGTTTTGCTTATCGGTTGTCAAGAGATAGTGTTTTAATTCTAGGACGTTGGTTATTCCCTACGGGTGCTCTGTTTAATGGTTTTATAGAAAATGTAATAGTAGCATTTTGGTTATTCTTTTTTCTATACGATGAATTCTGGAAAGGAACAGCTATACTTGTAGGGTATTGTTTACTCATTGGTTTGGGTAATCAAGACTTCATCGTACATCCTTTTTTTTATGCTGGGAGGCTGGTTATTCCTTAGTCTATGTCGATTCTGCATAAAGCGGTGTAATGAAAAATTGTAATGCCTGAACAGTTAAACAATGTACCATGTCCATGTCCCCTACACATGGATATTGGATGCATATTTAGTGTTGAAGGATGGTCACTGCAATTTCTTTTGGTTCAACGACAACTAGGGCTCCAATCTATCATCTCTTACTCGTGTACCGCTTGAGAGCAGCCCAAGAGGCCAATGGAAATTGTTTATTATTTCCTAAGTTTTTCTGTTGTAGTATGCCAATGTATCACTATTTTTTTTTTTTTTAATTTTGTTATCTTGTATATGAGTTTATTTCATGCACATATGTGTTCCTGGATGCATGCATGTATAAATAGTATTATAAAATTAACTGTTGATTTTTCTCAAAAAAGCGTTTTATTTATTTTGTGTCAAAAATTAAATCTTAATCAGTATAATTTAAAATCTGAAACTTTATCAACTAACCACACAATTGTTAAAAAAAAATTAAAATCAACACTACTAGATTGAGCGATAGATTAAACTTTCAACTGAATTACAAAAATGCCCTGACTAATTAAAAAACAAGAGTGGTTTAAGAAGGAGAAGAAGAAAAAAAATTAAAAACTAAAGGGTAAATGTAAGCGTTAACATATGACCATTTTTATTAAATTTTTAAGGTCTAAGGTGACAATAACATAATATTATATCTTAAAATGATAGTCTGTGGAAATTGAAAATTGAGTAAATAAGTTTTAAAAAAGAAAGAAATAAGTTACGTCAAATATTAAATAAAGGTCAAACAATAATCAAAATAAATAAAATGTATATAATAGATGGTTGAATAAATGGATCATATCTTAATTAAGTATAAATATAACATTTTTATTAAATTAATATATTAAATAATAAATTTATTAATATAATATAAATATAAATATAAAATATAAAATTATCAAATTAAAAAGAAAATAATATATATTTTTAATAATTAAATCAAATAGCTCCCACTTTTAAAAATTTTAAAATATTTTAAAATATTAGTCAAATTAAAAAGTAAAAAAGAAAATGTAAATAAAAAAAAAAGAATCAAATGGCTTGACAAATACCTATTTATTAACTAAATCAAAAAAGGAAAAAGAGAAAAAAAATGAAAAAGTAATAAAATGAAAAAAAAAAAAATAGCATCCTCTTGGTATCAAGTGGATCCTACTCACAAAAAATTAAAATCTAAAAAAAAATTTATTAAATATATTGTTAGAAAATGTTAAAAAAAAAAAAAGAAAAAGGAACAAAAGGCAAAATTCAATATCAAGTGGGTCTGACAAAAATTAAAAAATTATTAAAAAATATTTACTAAATATAAAAAAAAACATTTAAAAAAATAAAAAATCAACAGTTTTAAAAAGCATTTAAAAAGGAAAACCAAAGAAACTAAAATCAGAAAAAAAAAAAAAAAAAAGAACCTTAAAAAGGACAAAATAATTACGACTACTCAAGCATTACATGGATCAAAATTTTTTTGTTTTACTTTCTCTATTCACTGATTTTTTTTTTGGGCAAAATTTACTAATTAAAAAAAAGGTGAAAAGAAAAAAAAAGCCAATGGAATAACATGTGCATACCTTAATTAACATCATATTCTTACAAAATTTATTTAATAAAAAAATCAAAAAATAAAAAAAGTAAAAAAAAGACAAAAATAAAATTAAAAAAAAAGAATAAGAAAAAATTTTAAATTTTAAAATAAAAAAGATGCTCGAAGAGTTCCCACATGAACAACCGATCGAGCTTAAAATATTACTTTTTTCAAATTAAGTGTAAGGAGTAAAAATTTAAAAAAAAAAAAACTTAGTGTAAAGTGGATCCCACTTGTAAAAAATAAAATATATAAAAATATTTTTAAATATAAAAAATCTCCCAAAAAAGGTAAAATGGAAAATAATGAAAAACAAAAACAAAATTAACGTGGCACCCCTAGGTTAGAGAATTGTGCACTGTACCTTACCAAAGTTAATGTTATAGATTCAAGAAGTTCTTAACGTTAGAAAGATACCGTGGCAGGGGAGTGAGAAATATTCTACTAAATTAATTGATTGATGTATTTGATTTATTAAGTTTTAAACCTTGTAAAGGAGCAAGGTTTTTTTTTTTTTTTTTGCTTTTGAGTTAAAAAAAAAGAAAGTTTAATTTGAATAAAGACAAAATTTAATATCATACTCTTATAACATTGGTATTCAACAAGCCATTTCGTATATGGTGTTAATTTGATTGGTTGTAATGGTGTAAAAAGAGGAAAAAGAAATCTATAAAGGGTTTTAATTAACCTAATTAAAATAGTCCAACGGGGATTGATGTTTTGGTCTATTTCATTTTTAATGTTTTTTCAATGACTATATAATTGATGATTAAAAGTATTGGTGATTTACCGACTAACTTTTGGATTAGTCGACATGTTATTATAATTAATGTTTGAAGGTTACAGATTCAAAAGAGTTTAAGTGCATAATATCATATTTTATTAAAATAAATATTAGGGTAAAGATTTAAAAGTAAATTAAAAATTAAAAAAAAAAACATGAGTGATTTTTTTTTCTTACTTGTAAATTTTTTAAGGTTAATATAAGCATCTTAATGCATTGACTAGTCATCTTGATCTTGGCATTTCAAAACAGATCCATCTTTCAAAATTAATTCATGCAACTGATTAATGTTTCCTGATTTGAGGGAACATATCACCTACAATAATTGTAATATAATTAATTAATCATAATTCATAATTAATTGAGTTTCATTAAAATGATATATAGAGTTCACATTTATAAATGATATACTTTTACATAAATCTTTATTTTGATTGAACAATTATAATATTGTAGTAAAAAAATTTATAGGTGATATGCTCCTCTAATTAAGCTGCTACTCACAATCTTTCTTCCATTACCATATATCAAATAGGTTAAGTATTGATCAGATAAATCTTTATTTTGTTTGGTCTATTCATCAGCTCCTTTTGTTGCAAAATTTATATAATTAAAAAACATTAAAATTAAAATGAAAAAAAATCAAATTAGGGTACTACATAAACACTTCAATTGGGTTATTTTTTAAAAAACAAATTTATATAAATAAAAAACAAAAAATTTGAAGAAAGAGCAAATAAGTTATAAAAAAGAAAGAAAAATAATGTGTTACGTCAAATATTAAATAAAGGTCAAATAATAATCAAAATAAGTAAAATGTATATAATAGATGGATGAATAAATGGATCATATCTTAATTAAGTATAAATATAATATTTTTTATTAAATTAATATATTAAATAATAAGTTTATTAATATAATATAAATATAAAACAAATATTTATCAAATTAAAAAGAGAAAATTAACAAAAAAAGAAAATAATGTATATTTTTAATAATTAAATTAAATGGGTCCCACTTTTAAAAAAATTAAAATATTTTAAAATATTTGTCAAATAAAAAAATAAAAAATAAAATGTATATTAAAAAAAAAGAATCAAATGGCTTGACACATGACATGATATCAAGTAGGTCATAAAAAAATATAAATAATTATTTATTAACTAAATCAAAAAAAAAAAAAAAAAAGAGAAAAAATGCAAAAGTAAAAAAATGAAAAAAAATGTACTCTTGGTATCAAGTGGATCTACTTACAAAAAATTAAAATCTTAAAAAGGATTTATTAAATATTTTATTAGAAAATGTAAAAGAAAAAAAGAAAAAGGAGTAGAAGGGAAAATTCAATATCAAGTTGGTCTCACAAAAATTAAAAAATTGTTAAAATATATTTATTAAATATAAAAAAACCAAAAAAACATTTTAAAAAATTAAAAAATAAAAATAAAAAATCAACAGTTTTAAAAAGCATTTAAAAAAGAAAACCAAAAAACTAAAATCAGAAAAAAAAAGAACCTTGAAAAGGAAAAATAATTACGACTACTCAAGCATTATAGGGATCGAATTTTTTTTGTTTTACCTTCTCTATTCATTGGCTTTTATTTTTCTAAATTAGGTAAATTTTGAAAAAAAAAAATCAATGGAATAACATGTGCATACCTTAATTAACATCATATTCTTACAAAATTTATTTAATAGAAGAATCAAAAAATAAAAAAATAAAAAAAAGACAAAATTAAAATAAAATTAAAAGAAAAAGAAAAAATTTTAAATTTTAAAATAAAAAAGATGCTCAAAGAGTTTCATATGGACAATCTCATCGTGCTTAAAATATTAATTTTTCAAATTAACTGTAAGAAGTAAAAAATTTTAAAAAAACAAAAAAGAAAAGAAAAATTTAGTGTAAAGTGGATCCCACTTTTAAAAAATAAAATATATAAAAATATTTTTAAATATAAAAAATCTCCCAAAAAATGTAAAATGGAAAATTACGAAAAACAAAAACAAAATTAACGTGGCACCCCTAGGTTACAGAATTTTGCTCTGTACCTTACCAAAATTAATGTTATAGACTCAAGAAGCTCTTAACGTTAGAAAGATACCGTGGCAGGGGAGTGGGGAAATATTCTACTAAATTAATTGATTGATATATTTGATTTATTAAGTTTTAAACCTTGTAAAGGAGAAAGTTTTTTTTATTTTATTTTGCTTTTGAGATAAAAAAAAAAAAGAAAGTTTAATTTGAATAAATACAAATTTAATATCATACTCTTATAACATTGGTATTCAACAAGCCATTTCGTATATGGTGTTAATTTGATTGGTTGGAAAGGTGTAAAAAGAAGAAAAAAAAATTTATAAAGGGTTTTAATTAACCTAATTAAAATAGTCTAAGGGGGATTGATGTTTTGGTCTATTTGATTTTTAATGTTTTTTCAATGACTATATAATTAATGATTAAAAGTATCGGCGATTTACTAACTAACTTTTGGATTAGTCAACATGTTATTATAGCTAAAGTTTGATAGTTATGGATTTAAAAGAGTTTAAGCGCGTATTATCATATTTCGTTAAATAAATATTAGGGTAAAGATTTAAAAGTAAATTAAAAATTAAAAAAAAAAAAAAACATGAGTGAATTCTTTTTCTTGTAAATTCTTTAAGGATTAATATAAGCATCTTAATGCATTGCCTAGTCATCTTGATCCTGGCATTTCAAAACAGATCCATCTTTCAAAATTAATTCATGCAACTGATTAATGCTTCTTGATTAAGGGAGCATATCACTTACAATAATTGTAATATAAATAATTAATCATAATTTGAAATTGTGTAAGTTCCATTAAAATTTTATATAGAGTCTGCATTTATAAATGACATATCTTTACATAAATCTTTATTTTGATTGAACAATTATAATATTATAGTAAAAAGAATTATAGGAGATATGCTCCTC